GATTTTGTATCCAGCTATATTACTGAATTTAGTTATTAAATCTACAAGTCTTTTGGTGGAGTTTTTGTAGTCTTTCACATAAAGCATCATGTCATCTGCAAATAATGATAATATAACTTCTTCCTTTACTATACTTATTCCTTTAATTTTTTTCTTCTTATCTAATTGCTCTGGTTAAGTTTCCAGAATTATATTGAACAGGAGTAGTAAGAGTGGAAACTCTTATCTTGTTTCTTATTTTAGAGTGAAAGTATATAGTTCTTGACCATTTTGTATGATGTTGGCTGTTGGTTTGTCATAGTTGGACTTTATCAGATTGAGGTAAAGACCATCTATTCTTATTGTAGGATTTTTATCATGAATGAGTGTTGGACTTTGACAAGTGATTTTTGTGTGCCTCTTGAGATGATCATGTGATTTTCATCTTTAGCTCTGCTAATACGGTATATTACATTCACTTATTTGCACATGTTGAACTACCCCTGAATCTCTGGGATGAACCCTACTTGGTCATGGTGTGTAATCTTCTTGATGATTTGCTACAGTCTGTTTGCCAATATCTTATTAAGGACTTTTGCATCTCTGTTCATTAGGGAGATTGTTCTGTAGTTCTCTTTTCCAGGTGGGTCCTTCTCTGTTATCAGAATAATACTTGCTTCCAGGAATGATTTTGGAAATACTTGTCTTCAATTTCATTAAAGAGTCTCAGCATTAGGGACATTTGGCCTTCTCCAAGTTTCTTGTAGAATTCAACAGTGAATCCATCAGGGCCTAGGTTTTTCTTTGTTCATAGATTTTTAATCACATTTCAATTTCATTGGCTGACATTGAGTTACTTAGAATACTTATATCTTCTTGACTCAGTCTTCGTAATTCATATGTGTCCAGGAATCTGTCCATTTCTTCTGTGTTTTCCATATCATCCATCAAGCTAAAATGAAAATAGATCAAAGATCTAAATATTAAAACATAAATACTAAATCTTCTGGAAGAGAGAACAGACAGAAATCGTGAAGACAAAGGTATAGAGATTTCATGAAGAAAACCCAAATGCACAGGAAATAATACAAAGAATGAATAACTTGGACTACATTCTATTAAAAAGCCTTTATGTAATGAAAGAAATCACCCACAGAAAAGACTACCCAATTTTGGGGGGGAAAAATTTTATCCAGTTGTCCTTTAGACAAAGGACTTACATCTAGAACGTATGAAAAACTGAAAAAAAAAAATCAGATTCCCAAGTTTGAAGACCCAATCCAAAACTGGGCATCTGAGATAAATACAGAGCTCTCATATGAAGAAATGCAAATGGCAAATAAATATGCAAAAAAGTTCATTATCACTGGTTATTAAAGAGGTACAGATTAAAACAAGGCTAAGATTTCATCTCACTTCAGAAAGAAGGGCTGATGAGAAATCAACAAATAACAAGTGTAGGGGGTCTGTGGAGAAGAAGGAACCCCCTCCACTGCTGGGGGGAGCACAGATTGGTGGGACCACGGTGGAAATCAGTGTAGAGATTCCTCAAAAAACTGAGACTGGAGGTCAGATTCAACCCAGCTTCTTTCCTTCCTACTTCAGCCTTTGTTTTTCCCTTTGCTTTCCCTCTTTATCCTGGAGGCTGTTTTTCTCTCCACTCACTCACGCTCACTGGGGCTCCTGGAATGTCTTCCATAAATTTAGGCTTCTACCAAGCTGAAGAAGAAGGGTTGTCTTTGAATGTCTTATTTAGACGTTTGAACTGCTACTGAATCTGGGGCCTGAGAGGTTGTTGACATGGAAAAAAGGAAAAATAAAAAGACTACTTGGTCCTGCTGACTTTTTTCATCACAGTGAGTTTAAATCAAGAAAATAATAAATTACCTGCAACCAAGATTAAGATCTGTGAACTCTAATAACTTGTATTCCTGTTTAATTTCAATATATATATTCCTCTTAATTTCTATTAGGAATTCTCTGTCTCTCTGTCTCTTTCTCTCTCTCTCTGTGGTGTGTATATGCAAAGTATGTGTTTTTTGTTGTTGTTGTTGTTTTTTGGTTTTTTTGGTTTTTTGTAAAGAGCAAAGCCCTGGAGCATTTAAAGAAATAAGGAAGTAAAGACTATTTGTTAGGCATTCAGAGGAAGCCACTCTTTTAGAGCTAAGAGTAAAATAGTGTTCCTACCTGTGACCATGCTCTGTTTTGTAACTTCCATGAGTTTTCCCCTGAGTTCCCTTTTCCTAATGAGAAAAATTTTCCAGGTTAGATCAATGCACAGTGAGCTGAAAAACACACCAAGGTCTTTATTTGATTGGGCACAGACTTTGTTACTCTCTGAAGAAATGTGGTGATTATTGATACACGGGAAAAGGCAGGTGGGGAAGTGAAATGAGCGGGCCACACAGCGGCAAGTGTGCTGTGCTGTGGAGAACACAGAGCAGAGAGGCTGGTGGGGAAGGAGCAGGATACTGTGCAGAGCAAACACAGCAGCTATAGTGAGGTACTAGAATGAGTAGGAGATGCTGCCCAGTCTGTAAGCTTATTTTGCAACGTTTTAAACAAGAAAGAAGGCAGCACCACAGAGGGGAAAGATAAGGACTTTAGAGCCAGCTTTCATGGAGTTCAGACCTCTGCTTTGCTCCATGTCATATCTGTATCTTCCATGGCACACAGGGATTAATATCTCTGAGTCTCCTCTCCTTCTATGTACATCTGGAATAGCAATATAAATACCGCACAGTTCCTATGGACACTAGAAACTGAGTTTTTCATTCTTAATATGTATCGAGTGTCATGTAAATTGAAAGTTAGTCATACTGTTATTATAATCATTTTATTCTACCATGCACACACCAAAAAGTACACAACTGTTTGCTGAGTTAAACCCCTGTGACATCTGTGAAGAATGAAGAATTTTCTACTAAAGCTCCATTAAAGAAAAAGAGAAGATTTGACGCATTAAGAGTTAAGAGTTAGACCAATCTGAGATTTCCTTTCTCCACCACATCCATGCAGAGGTATGAGTATAGCTGTGTGACAACTGTGCACTTGGAGATGTGTGGCTTGCTAATGAGAGCAGAGCTCAGGCCCTGGCCCTGTGTGCTGGGACATGCACACTTCTTCACAAATAACACAAGACAAAGTGATCACAGAGGAGAAGCAGTGCTTGCTGACCTCTTACTTTCTATAGAGCATTATGCCTTCTTACTATCCCCTGTGTGCCAGCTCTCAGAAAAGGCTATCTGTTCCTTGTTCTCTAGAGAACACCAGAAGAAACAGCAGTGCTCGGAGCTAAACTCACAGAAACTGAAGTCACAAACTGAGCTGTTCCATACAGAAAGGCAGAGGACACGTGAACTGATCTTATCCTGAAGGATACTGAGTAGAGGAGAAAAACTTCCCAGAAGAGGTGGTGTGGTGAGGTCACTGAAGACTGAGGATTTTGGTAAAGAAGAACAAATGCATTCATTGCTCATGGGCAGAACATCCAGGGATGGGCAGGGACAGGTGAGAAGCACAGCTGACGTCAACACTGGGGGGGGGGGCTTCTGTCCAGAACTCACAGTGTAGAGCATAAGCCCTACAGAGCCTGTGCTGTCACGTGACTTAGTCTGTGGATTTTATTTCCAAAGAAACAATCAGAATTAAGGGCACTGCTCTTGGAAACAATCTACAACTTTCCTTCACAACTAAAATAAAACTTAGAAATTCAATCTGTAGAAGGAAAATATAAGAAAAAACAAAGGAAATTCTCAGCTGGAAAAAAATGAAAAAACATACATATCCTAAGTACAAGCACAATCACTCTGAACTTTTCATACAGAAACCCACATATCAGAAAAGTATTTATTTCTCAGTAGGTATAGGAGTTTGAAAATGGTCTCTCTACAACCCATGCCTTTGTGGCATCTAAGAAAATGAACTGATTTGGAATATAAGGTCTTTGCAATGTTAAGATGAGGTCTCATGGATAAGGGTGAGCCCAAAATTTGAAGATTGGTCCCTTAGAAGAAGTCCAGGTCAAGACAGAGATGTTCACTAAGCGAAGGTGGCTGTGTGGAGACAGAGGCAGAAATTGCAGTAAGCCGAGTGCTGACAGAGACAGGGCAAAACTGCCCTCTAGAACCTTCAAGAGGAGGAGGAAGATTTGGCTGGGACCTTGATTCCAAGCTTGTGGCCTCCAGAACTGTAAGCAAATGCATGTGCTTCTCTAAGCTCCCGATCTGTGTACTTTGTTGTGGCAGCTCCAGCAAACTGATATCATGCACAATTGAAAAGATCAGCTAGTCCGGAACAAATAAACTTGGTCACAATAGGACCACCGATTTCAGGTTGCCTGAGGTTAGAAACCTTGGAAAGGTCGTGGACTTTGTGGGAACAGATGCTGTGAGCTCCACACAGCTGTCTATTGGAAGCAGCACAAAACTGTGCATCCTGTAAATAAGTGTTCCTCACTTTGTTTTTTGCATGCCAGTTGTGCCCTCATTTGTTTTCTAATACCAAGCTTTAAAATCAGCAAAAAGGAAGCTTATCGCTACCTTTCCGCTCTCCATTCCTATATCCCTTCTGTCATCCATCCATCTAAATGATACAGAATTAAGTCAGATTATGTCAGCGATGCTGAATCCATGAAATAAGAGTCAATCAAATAAAAAATCAGGGAAAAATCATTTTAGAGAGTTTTGAACCAAATGGAAGTTAAACATGTTGGTCTCCAAGAGGTCTCCTACTGAGAAAGTTCATGGCCTGCTGTGAGTGATGAAATTTCAGGCACGTCTGTGGGAAAGGGCCTGAAAGGAGAGAAAATGAACACAGTCACCCAGGCATTCTGCAGTGAGAACCATGCCAAAGAGGAGAGCTTCCAGTCCTGTGTGGCTCTGAAGCCATCTTGGGCTGGAATTCTTCTCATCAGCTCTCTTTCACTTCTTCTGCCAGTCCTTCCTTCTCCCCTTCGCTCCCAGCCATGAATTCACAGTCAGGCAGTGTCAGTGCATGCGGCGTGCTGCAGTGAAAATGCAAACACGTTTTCTGTAATGAACATATGGGAGACTCCAGTGGGAAAGCGCTCCAGTCCTATCCCAAGCGTGTTGCTGGCTGTGACTGCAGAGAAGCAGGCACCAGACAGGATCAGGAAGCGAAGAGGCAAGAAGGCATAGGCATGGGCTTGACCACCGCTGCAGCTCTGAGCGCTGCCACAGCCTCCCGCGGCAGTGCGTCGGGGTGACAGGTGGCTTTCTGCATATTTAGTACCTAGTTTTCCTTCTGTAGCACATGGTCTTATCTAAGGGTGAAGAGCCTTATGCAAACTCTACATGTCTTGAAATTTTAATGTAAGTATCAATATTTTAAAAATTTAAATCATAAAAAGTTATGCATTCAGCAATTGAAATAAACATCCAAGCAATTCCTGCATATCCGTACTGAGGCTTGCACATTATCAGATTTCCTATTCTTTCTTCGTGTGTGTCCATTATAAATGGATATAAAAGTAACTGTGTGCCTATAAATGTGTATGTATGAAATCACTTTAATGTACTACCTCCCACCTTTATAGGTAAGACTGTTCTTATACATAATCTCCATACAAGCCATGAGTATTTTTGAAAAGCTTTACCTTGATTTTTATCCATTTCACCAGGATGACACAAATTTAAAATGATAAAAACTTGAAGTTATTTGCCTCTCTGATATCAAATTACTTGTTTAAATGTCAACGTCAGAGTATTTCCTTCACGATTTGTCTTTTCCTACAGCTGAGGAGAAAGACATCAGTGCAGATCCGAGCACAACCACAAAAGATGCTGGGAGTCAAAGGGATATCATCGCTGATGACTGCGCGGTGATACCTAAAGGTCACTGAAGCAGCTGTCAGGTTGGTACATCAGAGAACCAAAGCTCTCCTCTTAGCCAAGGATATTATCATGCAAATAAAATTGTACTTGGTGATCTGTAATCATTTCTCCTCTAGCAATGAGGTTTCCTGCAGTATAACCAGATGTTTTAAAAGAGATGTACAAGAACTCAGAGTCATTAGTTACTCTTGGGTTTGTAGAGGATTTTTTTTTTTTTAATTTGCATTGAATGGAGCTTAGGTGCATTTTAGTAAATAAAGTAAAATAAGAGAGTGGTAAGGGCTAACTGGGATTATAATCAGTACAGAGCAAGTATAAAACAGCACCTAAGTTTGGATTTTGTTTCTTCATATTATACAGGGCTTCAAATGTAGTTGATAGCCCCCTTTAAATGTAAAATGATCTCTTTCATCTTGTTTTCTTATTAAATGTCCCAAAGGATGCTTCTGGGTGTTTGTCTTAACAAACCTGTTGACTATTTCTTTGTAAGAAAATTGTTTGCACCTATAGTTTGAATATTGTGTCTTGCACTGACCCATTTGTTAGAGCTTTGGTCACAAAGCTCTAATCATGTGGCTGGTGGATGGGTACTGAGGGCAGTGGGGTGTGCTCTGGAGGGTGCCATGGAACCTGATTCCCTTCTCGATTCTAGGCTCCCCAGCCTGAGGTAGGTGGCTTTGCCCAGTCCTGATATGATGTGATGTGTCACCATTTGTTATAGTGGGAGAAAGCTAACCAGACCTTGAATACCTGTTTAACAGGGTTTTGCAGTAAGTTAAATATGGTTTTAACTCCTCAGGTGTGAGATTTCCAAATTTATTCCTCATGACACAGAAAACCATCTAAGCAGTTACTTTGTGTGGTAAGCTCAGTTCTGAAGGCTTTCTTCTCCAAGTGACCTTTGTGCTATCCCTGCTAAGCCTATTTTAGCTCTATACGCAAATCTGGAGTGGATTAGGGTATCAGGAAAGACGTTAAGGACCGGAATGCAAAATTGCACAGCCTAAATCTTCTCTAAATTCTCCCTTTTGTCTTTCCTCCATTTCTACTTAGTCTTTGGGCTAAGAAATCACTTTCTGATATTTCCTTCACATTTATTTGAAAGACAGCTTTAATTTTATGAATAGAAGTTTCTCGGAAGAACCAAGTTCTGTTTACATGCTAGCAATCACTGCATGCACAATGATTTTTACCTTAAATGATAAAATTTACTTTAAAACTCTTTTATGTCTACAGAATGCTCTAAACTAGAATCATTACCAGTCTTATCATGAAACATCTTACCTACTTATGCAATTGCAAAGTCTAGAAAGCTACGGTGAGTACAGGAGACCATCAGTGTTCACAATTGTGGCACTTACACGTAGAACAGGTAGTATCGCTCAAGGACCGTGACAGAGACTGGATGTTAATTTTGCCACAGAAATTACATTGACATCACCAAGAGGCTAGTCTGTGTAAAAGTCGCTTTACTAGTGAAAGCAGCTAACTAATCACACAGCATCTGCGTCTCAACATCTTGCATTCTTTACTCAGCGTAGAGGCAGCAGCATAATTGTATTTCTGTGAGAAAAAATGTAAATCAGGTGAAAAAGCTTTAATAAAAGTGGGAAATACTATTACTTTTTCATGTGAAAATACATGCTAAAAAGTAGGAGCCACGGGCATTTTATTAAGGGTTCACACATATTGTTATCTTCAGTAATTGCATGGTAACAGATTTCCATTTCTTTAATGAAGCTCTTTATTACAGAACAAGTGTTTTTACACTAAGTTACCAATGGGTGGGGGGTGGGATTTGTGTGTTATCAATTGCAGCTGTCAGCATCTGCTATTCTGCTGTAAATCACACTCCCCAAATTGCTTGAAATTTGTAGGGAGACAGATCCAGGTCATTTAATCAGTCTTATTCTAAAGGAAGACCAGGAATATGGTAAGAAATCTAGTGGAAAAGTTAAGAAGAAAGTGATGCATTAACAGAGAGAAAACAGAATGCTCAGACTTGAACCATTTGAAATACATGATTGTTTTTTAAAGAAGAGAAACACTGAAGATTAGATATTCTTCAAAGTAGAAAAGACAAAAACATCAGGGAATATAACACGTGAAAGACAGATAAAGAATCTATTCTAGCAAAAGGTGTATCACAGGAAGCAAAAGAAAATTGCGGACAACAAATTCATTTTTCATCCCCAAAACATAGACCCTGCAAGGTAGGAGACTAAAAAAGAGATCAAGCATAAGCTTTTGAAGCAAGGAAATGAGATGCAAAGACTAGGTGGAAATGGAAGAAAAGTTTCCATTCATAGTCACAACAATAAAATGCCAAGCAATACATCAACTGTTCAGTCTGAGACCCACTGAGACACCTATAGGAAGAAGGCTAAATGTACACACATACATTCTTCATGAATAAGAAGTTTTAACACAATTAAGGTGCTTATATTTCCTAAAAATCTTCCAAAGTCATCAAAACTGAGAGAAAATTAAGATACTATTATTAGTAGTATATTAGAAGACAGGAATATTTCTGTATTATGCTAGAGTCATTGATGTGCAATAGAAACTTTCTGAAAGGAAACAACTGAATAGAGGCCAGTTCCACAGTACACACAATAAAATATAGTACAGAGTCATAATACTTAAAATTGCATCACTACGAATACAAAGATATGTGAATGTGTATTGGAGTTCACAGTGGGGAAGGTGAGCACAGTCCACTGATTTAAATAGATTAAGTAAATTAAATATTCAGATTGTCTGCAGTTTTTTTTTAAAACAGGATAAGAGATCATCCACCAGGTATAAATGTATGCCTGTCCATCTCTTAGCCTCAAATATCCAAAAATGTACTAAAACTTTGTAACATTTTGTGCATCTCCAGTCTGTGTCATTTTTCCCAATTACCCTGTATCCAATCACCAAAGCTAATAAACAATATCTTCAACTCATATCAATCTATTCCTTACAGATCAAAATTTTAATGAGGCTCTGGGGGCTGAAATCAAGGTGGCAACCAGGCCAGTTGCTCCTGAAGGCTGCAGCGAAATCTGCTTCCTGCCTGTTCCAGTGTCCCCAGGATTCCCCAGGCTGCGCTCACATCCCCCAGCACGTTGTCCCCTCATTTCTTGTGTTCAGCACCTCTCTCTTACTTCTGTTTGCCTCCTGTTTTCATGAGAACCTTATGATTACAAGGATCCCACCTGGACAAGCTCCCCTTGATTTCATCCCATCTGTAAAGTTCCTTTCTCCCTGACGAATAACATATCCAGGGTTCCAGGGTTTAGGATGAGGATGATTTTGCAGGCAGATGGGTCTGATTCAGCCTGCCACAGTCTCTTTTGTGATTACCCTCATTACCTAATTATTTAAAAAGTCCTTTAGAAATGATACTGCTGTATCGCATGCGTATGCACATGGGAGGTGATGGAGTGGGGAACAAACACTTCCCGGACACTGCTGGACAGATCTCAGCATCGTCACTTCTGCTGCCCCTGCTGCTGCTGTGCCTGCTTTTGACATCGATAGACAATGAAAATTACCTTGATCATTAATGAATGAGCAAAGGAACGAAATAGGATTTTTTTTCTGGCATTTATTCAAATGTTTCATTCTTACACATTGAATACCTAATATTTACAATAAAAATTATTAAAATCATAGTAGCTGTCCTTTGTCAGGGGCTTTCTGTGGGTCATTATGCTAAATTACTTGAATTAATAATTGCTAAATTAGTTATTCTTAATCAACCTAAAATCAGGATATCATTATGTATTTTTCACCGCATGGACCTGACAATGCCAAGTAAAAGACCTAAAAAAAGTTGCAAGCCAGAAATTCTAGGAATAATGTTTGAATTCAGTGACTCTAAAGACTCTAACTTCATAGATTTTACCTAGACAAGGCACTGGACCAGGGGACCAGTGGAATGTGACCTGTTGCCCCACGATTCTGTTGCGGCCCCAGACCAAGAGGCACAAAAAACCAGGGTGAATCTTGTGCTATCACAGAGAACACCTGAGAAGTAGAAGCTGCACTCAGACCAGCACCAACCAGACAAAGACAGAACACTTTTCCCAGGAGACCGTACATACAGAAGAAGCTGAATAAGGGCAGCTTCAATAGTAGTGGGTTGAAGATTCCTGGCTGATTCAACAGAATGAGCAAATGCCCAAAGGCAAGAGAATATAGAGAATTAAAGCGGGTAAAGAAAATTCATTAAGGTTGGATGATAAATGTCAGTGAGAGAATAGCAAGTGGCTGGGCAGACACGCACAGGACAAATTATGCGAGACCTTGTGAATCATGTTAAGGAGTTTGAACTTCACAGGACTTCATCAAACAGTAGTCCCTTGAAAATTTTTAAGCAAAGGAAAGACTTCACCAAATTTGCATATTAGAATGTTATGAAGAATAATTTACGTGGTGGCAATACTAGAAATAGGGAGGCCAGCCAATAAGTGACTATAAAACTCTAGTCATTATAGAAATGTCACAAAACTCATATCTTTATAGTAAAACATTCTTGGAAGTAATCGTGGAGAAAAAGGTAAAATTCACATGAATTTTTACTATGAAATATACCAAATTCAAAGAAATGCCATATCTATAAAAACAGTTCCGACATCTTTCTGCAGTTACCCCACCACAGCTTGTGCCACCTTCTAGCACATTCTGCTGTGCTCCAAGGGGGACATCAGTAGGCAAGCCCCAAGGCAGAGGGTTTTGTTTGATGTAGTAGCCTCAGTATCCTCATAAAGTATACCATGAGACAAAAGCTGGCACGAGAGTATTCTATTTGGGAATGATCTCAGGAAGTAGCAACGAAGAAGAGGAGAATGGAGCAGGGAAGGACAGACAAGACAAGAATGCAGCTCAATCCAGAGGCATGCTTTGGGTGCCTGATAAAATGCATCTGAGACCCTCTCTCCGTGGAGATGAACTGAAAACACGTTAATCTAGAATTGCCCAGCCTTCCCTTGCTCATTGTTCAAAGCTTGCAGATTGGAGTGCTCAGTGGGTTCCCGCAGGCATCCAAACCCAGAAGCTGCCAGGCAGGTTTAGGGCCCCCACCCCTCAGGACAGGCCCCTGGGGTGCCACTAGCAAGCTGTAATTGCACAGAGCTGGTGGACATTTGCAGAGACCCTTGTTACACCCGGAGCCAGGCACGGGTGTGGAGCTGTGATTTGTAACAGAACCTGTTGCTACCTGAAGTTCCATTTTTGTTGAGTTTCCCCCAAGCGTACCACTTCCTGTCCTATTAGATGACAAGGTGCCTTTCTTTTTCCTGCCATTGCTTCAGTCCTGAATTCAGTCTGCCACTGGATGCTTACCTGACGAGTGACAGTGGAGACCCCGTGCTGCCTGTATGTGGTTGCTCTCTAGGATGGTAGGTTTTCATTCTTGCTTTGTTTTCCCACTTAGTGAAAGTTCATTCAGTACACTGGTCAAAGAATGCTTTAGCTACAATAGATAAGACAGCAGACTGTCCCAAGGACAGGAAGCCAGTTCCCTTCATCAGTAAAGAGAAAGCTTGGTTTCTCAACCACCACTATAATCTATTCCATAGGGCTACTCCAGATGTGATGCCTCTGAAGCAACCAATTATATCATATTCTTTGGAAGGCATGCAAAAGAAGAACAGTTTTCTCATGTGGGCCTGTTTCCCTGACTGGCACTGGACCATCCACTGGGACTTGTGAAATGTTCTGTGTACCTCAGTCACCAACACTCTGAGGCCAGGTGCCAGAGTGCTGAGGTGATGAACGATGTCACTGCCGCATAATCTCTACCTGTCTTAGTAACCCCAAATGGTCTGATTCTAATTGATTCTTGCGAAGACTCTGCTCACAGAGATCTTGAAGAGGTCATCTGTTTCCCTTTTATTGCAAATTGTTTTCAGATCACTTTGTATCACACTGTGGGATTGGTGCATGTACATCTGAATTCCTTCTTTCACCCCTTTCCCTTCACCCCTTCACCCCTCCCTCAGTCTTCTGGCCTCTTTCCCTTTTTATGTGCTTGCAGTATTTGATGTGTGCAGTTGGTACCTATAGAGAACGCATCCTAATTCCTTTTCCTCACCTACTGCATCTCCTGGTTCCCTCCCACTGGGAAAAAGTCATATTCTAATGCTGTATGGCACATCAAGTCCCAATCAGATTTCAGTGGAAAAGTTGGGAGCAGATTTAGGAATAGTCTGTTTTTTTCTTCCCAACCCACACTGCTCTCAAGCGACCTCATACATGGCCAAGAGAAAATTAAAGCCAAAAACGTGAAGAGGATGCTGTAAGTTACCCAGCTATTCTGTGACGGAACCAAAACGCATCATTCTGTACTTCTTCTTGCAGAGAAATTCGATACGAGTGTGATGATGCTTAGTGCCATGTCTGAGCTTTGCGTACAGGCCACAGATTCTTTGCGCCTAACGCTGAGCTCCCTAAGACACAGAAAGAAGCCTGCAAATGCCTTGGGGTTAGAAATGGGTCTTTTATCCAGTGTCAGGCACATTGTAGGATCTCGAAAAATATTTGTTGTAAAATGAATTTCTGTAGCTGTGGTATTAGTCATCCTGAAGGAGCATAATAACCTCTTTCCCAAAATACATTTTTCTCTGCTATCCAGTACTTTTGCCTGTCTTTGTTTATAGTCAATCAATAGCACTTTTAAGGCGCCTCCAGCTTGGTTGTTCTCGGGTTGGGAGCCCTGTCCGTCGGACAGCCCGACTTACCGCAGAGACACCAAACACCCTTTCAAAATCTATTACTGGGTCAAGCCTCAACTCCACTGCTTTAAAAATCATTTTTTCAAGGTTTACTTTGAAGTTTTCTTTCTCTCCATGTCAGCAGGATGGCTGTGAATTTCTTACTTTCAGCAGGCCCTTCTGAGAGTAATGGTGACCCAGGAAGAGGGATTTTCATGCAATGTGAAAGCTTTCTGTCAGCAGTCTAAGCTTTCTTTCATTAATCTACTTTGGAAAGAGACTCTTGCTCCATTTCTATGTTATTACTGCTTTGCTCAATGTAAATTTTCAAACTTAGGTCCACCAACACAGGTGAACTAAACCAAACAGAATTTTAACACAAGATAAAAATTAGCCTTTGTGATCTTTATTGTTGCTTAAAGTAACCCATATTGTTCGATGTTGGGGAAAAATATGTTACTAGCTAGTAAACGTAGAATCATGATTTTGAAACAGGACCAGTTTTGACAAAGCAGACTGGCATTTGTACGTTATCTTATGTTGATATATTGACTTTCTGTTACATTTCTATGAAATAAAAAGCAGGTGTGTCCTTCTTTGAAAGACCCAGCAAAGAAGCTTGTACCAAGTTTATCAGTTCCCCAGGTCTCCCTAAGGCAAATAGAAACTGCCTCAGAGTCCTCCGAAGGGAGCAGAGCTGGAAAAGCAAACACTGGAGAAGCCACAAGGGTATAGCACGTTGAAGTCAGAAAATGTAGTAGAATTGTAGCTGTTCTTCAAAAACCTTAGTCGGGGGAGACCAAGACTGTTCTCGGGGGAAATGTATGACATGGGGAGCAAAGAATCAGACATGAGACTGCCAGTGCTCTCCTCTAGAGGCTAACTCCCCAAGGTCCCGGCACCTCTAACAGTGCCACCCTGGAGGCCAAGTCCTTAACACACGGGCTTTTCTGGGACCTTCATTCAAACCATAGCAATGCTTCAAGTGTGGGTAGAGCCTGCAGAGATAGAATGATCCAACTAGTCTATACTACTCAAATAAACTGAACCAGGCAAAACAAACAAGGACTGGACCTTAGTGAGTGGGCAGGTGTTGAATGTTAGTGATGGTGTCACAGAGGTGTAATGTAGGGAATAGAGACCTGGGTGCTAGCTTTATTCCTAGGCTAAGGAGATCGATTTCTACTTTGTAGGCACAGCAGAAGCATTGAAGATTGCGGAATACAGATTAACATGATGATGACATTAATCTAGAAGACTGAAAGCAATGGAGGGGAATACCAGTTAGGAGCCACGGTGCTTTAAATTTCAGAAAATCCAGTTGCTTTTCTTTCAGAAGGTCCCATACGGTGCACTTTTTTTTGGAAGTAACACATCCACAAAAGTCCACAGCACCATTGGAGAAGTGCTTCAGCTATACTGAACAATAAAATGTGCTTCCAAGGCTTTTTAAAAAGCGGACCTTCTAAAGGGTCTGGTGTGATCTAAGTACCTGTAGAAGTCATTCTTTAAGTTTAACAGAAATCCATTTATTCTGGGACAAAAATAGAACTAATAGCATTTGAAGTAGTATTTTGAAATTTTCGGTGTTATCTCATGGCTTGTTCAAACCTTAATGCCAGGCAGATAATTCCAGAAGAATATTGCTTGTGAAAGAAAGGACACTTTTAAATTCCTGCTGCAGACTGAGGAGTATGGTGTAGCTTTGGGTTGCTACTGTGGATTTTTTCCTTTTCTCTCTGTTTCTTCTTCTCTTTTACTCCCCCCCCCCCGCCATATCCAGTGTAATGGGATGAAGTAGTCAATGTCTGAGGTACACTGCTACAAGTGTCCCTAACACAGGATGACTCTCATAAGTATCCAGTGGATTGAGCTCCTTAATTTCATGAGACCTGATCCTTCCAGCTGCATGTAGAATGCAAAACACAACAATGCTGTATAACCACATGGTTCAAG